TGTACAACTGTTAAGATATACTTTTAAATCGTCCTTTTTTTTTATAAAAAAAAAAGCAAAAAAATTTCTACGTAAAGGAAAAAAAAAATAATAAAATAATAGTAATAAAATAACAATATTTGTTTGATTGACTTTCATATTTAAATATAATATAAAAGTCAATTCCCAGATATAATATTTCATTGCGATTTTTTTTTTTTTTGTTGAATGACAAAAAGAAAACAGAGCAAACAAATATTTTACTTATAATACATTTTTGCTTTGAGCTCCAACCAAGGTAAAGCTGCTTCTAGCAAATCATCTTTAAAATTCTCCTCGCAAACTTCTTGGCAACTTCTATAGAATTCCGTGACATTGCTTCTATTTGTGGCAAGTGTTTCAGCATAACGTTGCTTATCCAATTTTTTAAGAATGTAGGCAAACCGCATATCTCGTAAAGTACCAAAAGCCACTGGGATTTTATGTGCTGCTTTAAGTTCGGATACGAAATCCTCAAATCTGAGTGTAGGGCGAGCATTAGGGTTACGAGCAAGAGCAGCTTGTTTTCGACGTTCATTTTCAGCTGTTACAACGGTTAGAACACAATCCACTCGGCTATGAACTTCTTCTATAGTAGACATACTTAATTTAGGAGCTTTTAACCTTTGTTTAACGCTACTGTTATTAACATCATTGTGATGATGATTATGATGATGGTGAGAACGAGAATCATGTCCAGAAGAAGAAATATTTCTATGGTCTTCTCTTTCTAAGGGATCTAATCTTGGTCTTTTTGCTTTTGGTGTATTTAATTGAGAAGAAATGAGGTCAATGTTAGCTCTTGAGGAAGGGGGAGGTGGAGAATAAGAAGAAATTGAAGAGGAACAAGAAAAAGATTTTGGTGTATTAGCGATTGACCCATTCCGATGCTCTTGAATTCCACGCCAAAGTGTCAAGATATTGCCAATACTAAGTGATGAACCATTTTTACCGCGTAAATCGCGGAGGAATTGTTCGTTTTCAATTAATAAAAGAATTTCTGGGTCGTCTATGTCATTATCTAAGAGTACTGGCAAGATCAATTCAAGTCGACGATGAGACATGGCTGTAAATTGCATTAAAAGTCTCTTTAATGCCTCTACTGGTGTCATCGCATCTTCCATATCGTAATCCTATTAATAATAATTTAAATAAATTGTAAAAATTTATAAATAAAAATAATGCAATTCCCATCTAAAAACTTTGTGTTTTATAGAATTATTATCATTTGTTTTATTTTTTTTATTTTTATTTTTATTTTTTTATTTTTTTTTTTTTAATTAAAAGAACAACACACCGAACATGCCTCACTTCTTGGAGTATAATCGGTTATCATAGGGTCACCATAATCTGAGTCAGACTTTGAATCTTCGTCCCTGTTAGTTGAGTTAATTGAAATTGGAGAATCTAAAGAAGTTCTATATGTGCGGTCTTTTCGCTTATTACGATTTTTTTTAGTAAAATCGCTACTCTGAGTTGTATTGATGGTTAATGGAGTTCTTTGTGTTCTGCGGACGTCCATTACATCAGGAGTCGCGTCTTCGTCTAACCTAATTACCGGTCTTGGCGAAGGTATGGGAGTGTTCATAGAAAGAGGTGTATTAACACCAGAAGAAAATCTTTCAAATACAAACGTTAATGGTTGTTGAACTTGTGATTGTTGTAAAGAAGATAATGGGGGCGGTGAAGGAGTAGGGGTTGGGTGAATAAGAGAACCAAAAGGATGAGTAGTCCCGCCGGGCTGCATTGAAAGGTTCACTGTATGAGAGTGAACAAGTTCTGAAGTTGTGTGAGACGTTCTGGCCGTCTGTTGAATTGACGGTGACTTGTGATGAGTATCTAAAGACACATTGTTCTCCATTTGGAATTATTAGGAAGTTTTTTTTTCTTTTTTGAAAAAAAAAAAACCTCAAATTTTTACTAAGGCAAAAAAAAATCAGCCCTTTATTTTTTTTAACCTATTATAATTTGACAGTGATTTTTTTTAATTTTTTTTTATTTTGTCATCCTTTTCTTAATAACTTTTCCTCTGGGGTTTTAGGTATGGTCTGGGAACTTAATTCAAATATCGATCCACAGAATTCACACGGAAACGCAAAAAGAAACTTGTACGAACGAACAAACAATGAGTACGCCATAAGCAAGTCATAAGCATGACAACCTAGTGATGAAAAAAGAAGCCTCCGGAATTTGATATCTTTAGATGATGATGTGTGACATGTACGTTAAGAAACTTTGGCTACTGCTAACAGCTATAATCACATGATATAATAATTTAAACCTATCAAAAACATTATAAGGATCATAAGGTGTATTGAATGAGCTTAAAATGCATACCATCTAACTTTCTAACACTCATCTAGCCATTCGAAGTAATTGCCAATGAATTTTGAGTTTCTAATCTTTTACAATAACAGTAATGATCAGATGATTTTACAAAGTAAGGAGGGACACGACTATGATTTATCGATAATAATTATTATAATTATGAAAATGAAAACTTGAAACTGACCAACAATTATTTCTCAATAGAGCTCAAAATGAAATTATCAAAAGATATATATCACTTGATTTCTGAATTTTTTATGTTGTACATCCGTCTAATTACAAAATTGTTTATATTACTGTAATAGGATTCAATAAACATCTTTCTATTATTGTACTAAAAAGGTGAAGCATTTACAAAAATTAAATTATTTTTTTTTCTGCAATTATATAATCAATATGATTTAATCCCTTATCATATACTAAAAATGAGTTTATCTTTAGAGACTAGTTCAAAAAAGTTAAATTTAAAATTTTGCGTGCTGATGATCTTCACTTTATTTAGATTTTTGATGATTCTGACTATGCTTTACTGCGTTGCTGCGGAACATCACACAATAAAATTTCCCGCTAATTTCATCATCTGATTCGTATTCATTAGTAAACTGGCAAAATAAGAAAGATATTGTGATATTCTATTCTTGGCACTATTATCGTTATCCAATGGATCTATGTTCTCAACCTTCTGAAATTCTGTCAAGTGTCACTTTTGTCACTTTAGATTAAGGATTGTTGACCCCTGTTTAACGTTTTATTATCTGTTATTCAGTATTAAATGTTAGTAATGTTTCACAATAATAAACATCATCATGTGACTTAATTTTAAATTACAATATAAATAGTTATGCATTATTACCCTTAGAAATTTCTTTCTTTCATTCATTCAACAATGACTATTATTCGATTTTTTCGTCCCACTCCTCGTACTTTTCATCACTTTCAACATCACTTGATTCTTCCATTATTATTCATTCGCTCTTATTCTGCTGAACCACCATATAAGTCAAGACCATCCCCAGTTCCGTTAGCGGATCCACAAGAACAAAAAGAATTTGAAGAATTAGTTCGTAAAAATCAGGGTTCTTTTAGCGCACAGACGGAAGAAGAATTAATTCACCCTGATCTACGAAAAAAACCTCCTCCTAAATTTGAGGGAGATAAAAATCCAGAAACTGGTGAAATTGGTGGCCCCAAAGAAGAACCTTTAACACATGGTGATTGGAGTTTCGGTTCAAGGGTTACAGATTTCTAAAATAATTTATTTGCGATTCACATGGCTTTTTTTTTCATTTGTTGTGTAACCATATAATAAAAAATTCTTGCTTACGTAACACGAATGAAATTTTTTTCTTTTTTTCTCTGTTACTTTATATAACTTTTATTATAATTAAAAATATGATCTATTCACTTTACATAATTAATAAGGCTGGTGGTTTAATTTATCAAAGAGATTTTGCTGATAGTTTAAATAAACTTACTTCTAACGAATATTTGGTATTAGCGGGGACATTTCATGGGTAATTTTTTTTTTTTATTTGTTTTTTTTAACCATTTAAATCTCTAAAATTGGATTGAAATCAATTAATTTTTTTTTTCTTTTAAAAAAAAAAATAGAGTACACGCTATAACTTCAAAAATATCACCAGTTCGTAATGCAACTTCTTCGGGTTTAGAAGTACTTGAAGCGGACACTTTTAAATTACATTGTTTTCAAACATTAACAGGTTATTATTTCTTTTAAAATGTCATTTCGATTCTCCTAATTATCCTAATATAAATATATTTTAATAAAATTTTAGGTACAAAATTTTTAATCATTGCTGAACCAACCCACGGAAACATTGATTTATTACTTCGTCGTACTTATGATATTTATAGCGATTATGTTATGAAAAATCCTTTTTATACTCCTGAAATGCCAATTAAATCCGAATTATTTGATATAAATTTAGCCAAATTAATTAAACAAGTTAGCTCTTAATTATTATAATTAAACTTCCTTTTTTTTATTTAAAATAGTACTTGGGGAACAATTATTATTTTGTTTATTTACAGGACATTATATATTTTAAATTTTAAATAAATTAATAACCTTTTACAATTCCTCGTGATTTAACTTCTCAATCGAAGGACAAACAGCTGGCGTTGTCATTTTCATTATATATTCACATTTCTCTGGCTCGGCAACTGAAAAAATTTTATTCTCTATGCCACATTCAAGATATAACTAGAAAAAGAATTAGGATTAGAAAAGAATATTATAATCACTCTTTCATGAAGTGACCCAAAATAAAACTTACTTTAACAGATCTCTCTGGTCCATTCCAACATCTTGTTCCACGAGTATATAATTGTGCTGTGTAATATTTGTCATCTTCCTTTGATTCAGCTCCAATCCATTTTTCAAAGTAACTAATTAAATAAAAACGTTATTATTTTATTTTATTAAAAAAGGTGTGATTTAAAATTTTATTCATACCCCAAATGTGTTGATACATGATCTTTATTACTTTTTTGAGTTGCCTTGTCAAACATACATATTGTATATGTATAACTAATAAACAATAAAGGATTTTAATATTAGAATTTACTTGATAAATTATCAAATGTTTAAATAATACTTACTCCTTAGCATCATGACTAAAGCATTCACCATCCAACTTTGCAAATTCTAGTTGAGTGCCATAATCTTTTTCAAGTTTTTTATTAACTTCGGTGATATCATTTTCAACTTTCCTTTTCTCTTCCTCAGCTTCGTCATACGCATCATATGCTGCTATTACTTCTAAAAGAAACAAAAAAAAATATTTTTAGATATTATCTCGATGCATATGTGAACAAATCAAAATCTTGACCTCGGTTCTACAATAAATTTCAAAGAAGAACTCCTTAAAATTCTTTAATTTACCTTTAGATTTGCCACCATCTGAAGGTCTTGAATATTGTTGTTCGGGTTTACGAATGACATATTCTGATAGCCCAAAAGTTTCCAAGATGTCATTGTAAACATCTAAAAGGGCACCAGAAATTCGTTCGCTTAACGAAGGTACTAAATTAGGAGGTAAAAAGAAACATTAGATATAATTAAAAGAAATCAAACATAATTTAACATTTTTCATTCTACATGATGTCTCAATTTCAGGAGCTTGCGATTCTTCTCCTTTTACTTCTTCTTCATCAATTTCGTCCTCTTGATCAAATTCCATATTTTCTTCCATTTCCCTTTCATACTCTTCTACAAATTCATCATACCCTTTAATAGCAGCTTTAACAGCCATATCATGGTAATTTTGATTATGATCCTTTTTCATATCCTTAAGAATATTAAGTAAAGTATCTATTTGTTCACGAAGCCTCTCTTCACGCTCTCGCAATGTTCTAATTTTTACTTGATATTTTTGTATGCGTATATGATCTAAATATTTTAATTAAATAAAACGTACTTATAAATAAACAATTTTATTATACGCTCAAATATATATGTGTTACATTTGAAACTAACCTTTTGTCTTTGATTCGGCTTTTTCTTTCTCCTGAACTTTTTTCAATGCAACTTTGTACAAAAAAACAATAAAGTTAATTTTCAATTAAATAAAAATGTTGTTAAATTGATAGTAAATACCTTCACGTTCTGCGACTCTAATCTTTGTGGCTTCAAGAAGGGTTTTTAATCGGTTCAATTCAGATTCAAGTTGTTGTTTCGATTTTTTACCGTATTCAATGTATTCGCTTTTTATTTGCGCTCCCTATTATGCAGAATACAAGAAAAGCTGTTACACATGACAACTTCAAATTATGAGATAATACGTATAAATATTGACCTTAGCTCGCATTTTGGCCAATTGTTCTGCATGCCTACGGTATTCAGCACCAACTTTCTCGCAATCATTTGGACATTCTATTTTTCCGTCATACTCATCTGACCCATCACAACATTCAGGTTCTTTTTTTTAGAAAAAAAATTAGCCATTACAATAAAATTCTAATTATGATTTACAAATTGAAATATAGACTTGCCGCAAACTCCATCATTCACGCGGCTGGACGATATATATGATGAAATATGTCCGGAATTTGTGCAAAAAAACCTGCCATTTGGACATGCAGACGTTCCTGTATGTATGCGAAAAGGCGATCAATTTATTTGTGATGATAAGAATTAGAAAATAAATAAAATAAATCGTATTAATTAATGAATTTTTTACCTGGTTCATCAGAACCATCAGCACAATCGCAGTAATCATCATTAATTGCCTCGTATTCTATTGTTGCTGAGCCGTCTAAACACTTCCAAGTTGAACCTTTCTTTTCATAAAGGTGTGCATCTTTAAAGAAGATTGATCAAATTTAATTTCGGGACGAATTACTATAAAAAGAAACCACCAAAAAGGATTAAGCTAGAAACATACCTGATTTTGCAACTCCTTTTGGTATATTGTTTTGTCCAGCATGAACTAGTACACTTAAAAATACGATTAAATTTAATATTAATAGACCAAAAGTCAAATTAGATTTAATTGGAGTAAATAATCGTTTATAAACCATAATTTGTCTATGAAAGAAAGTCAAAACAATCGAACAAAATTTCAACGGGAAAAATTTTTTTTGTAAGTGCAGATCATATATCGAGAAATTTTTTTTTGATATTTGTTACACACATCTAAAAATGTTAAAATCTTTGCAAATCCTATTTGTGGGGAATTTACGGTAATTCGCTGATTTTGAAAATGGAGAATTTGTGTGACAACTAAAAAACCAAATAAATAATTTAGGTTTAATTGTTACGACAATGCATAATATATATAATTTATTAAAGAGTACGTATCGAATATAATGTGATAATTAATGCGGTGAATTTCATGAATTAATCGAATAATTCTTTTTATTGCCATTAGAAGTAGCAAGCTGCAAGGCGTCTATCAACTTATTTTGTAATTTTAGTACACAAATATTTGGTAAATTTCACATTTACATCTTTTTACTATAATAAGAAAATAATAAATAGCAGCCCATTCCCCTTTTTCTTTCCTATATTCAAAAAAATTTTCAAATCATTGACTGTATTATATTCTGTTTATAATTTTATATTTAAAACTTTTTCTCGAAACAAAATTAAATTTTAAACTTTCGAACATAATTTATTAACCAATTAACCATGAAGAAAAATATTGGAAAAATTAAACAAGTGTGTTTGATGTTTCGATCGTTGTATTCTTACATCATTTGAAATTTAGTTTTTCTAACCCATAACCATTTTCCGCTAATAGTGGGCGAACGAAAGAGTTGGAGGGCAGAAAACTCAAACTCCTGACGAATTTCAAGATTTACAACAAAAAACCGATGCAAGACACTCTGGAATAGACAAGCTGCATATGGCAACAAATACTTATATTAAGATTATGTGTATGTCTTTTAATTGGAAATATTTAATTATAGCAATTTAAAATGTACTTACACTTTTATCATCAACTTATGTAGCGAAAAAAGCGGATTCGGTTGAAGAAAAATCAAAAGTTTTACCTTTAGAGTCACTTGGAAGTACCATGAAAATTTATGGCGAAGAAATTGGCACAGATACTCCCTATGGTGAGAAATATTGTTGAAATTTTAAATTTTTTTTAATTAAATAACTAATACCTTTATAATACATAGGAATGGGGTTAGTTAGATTTGGTAATGCGAACGAAAAGATTGCCAAAGCACAAATGGAGTATGTTTCACGTGTACGAGATGATTTCCTCTTTGGATTATCATCTTCTATTGAAGAATTTAAGCAATATCAAGTAAGATGACAAAAAAAGATAATTAATTAATTTTTTAGTAATATATGGATTCGGCGCTAATAAAATTATCTTTCAATGTTTCATTAGCAATTAAAAAGAAAATTAGAATCACGTAGACTTGATTATGATGCAAAACTAAATAAAGTACAAAAATCAAAAAAAGAAAAACCAGAATTAGAAGAAGAAATGCGTGCTGCAAAAGAAAAATATGAAGTTACAATGGAAGATATAAATAATAAAATGTTTGCGCTTAATGATTCAGAGGTTTGTTGTTTTTTTCCTGGTTTAAGGAGAGAGATGTATATTTTAAAAATTAATTTCGGCGCATTTATAATTAGGATCAACATGTGCAAGATTTAACTACATTTTTAGATGCCCAATTGGAATATTTCAAAGCCGCTTACGAAATTTTAGAAAGCGTTAAGAAAGACTGGGTTGAGAGGTTTGCATCATCTTTTTTTTTTTAAAAAAAAAAAATTTTATTTATTTTGTTTGTTTGTTTTTTTTTCATTAATTTATCTAATTTTATATAATTAATAGTTCTGACAAACCATCATCGCGACGTAAACGAACACCAATACGATCATCTACAATTGATTCAACTAATTCAAATTCTGATGGAGCCAATTCAGACAATGGTAGTGCAGATAATGGTAGTATTAACTCACATTCAAGTCACAATAGACCAAAGCCCTCAAAAAGAACTTCAAAACTTGTAAAGTCTGATAGTTCTAATAACCTTAATATCCCAACTGGATTATCTCGCAATAAGAGTGTTTCGTCTGGATCATCTACTAGATCTGTTGATCTGAAGAAACCAGGTACGAAGATTTTTGTTGGGATAAATTTTTTTTTTAACAATTTCAACAATTAAATTCATTATTAATAATTTACATATTACTCGATTTTTCTAGGCAATACAACACAAAAGAAACAAGTCAGGGCTATATTTAGTTATGATGGCGAAGATAGAGATGAACTTGCAATTGAAGAAGGAGACATTATAACAGTAATAGAAGAAGCTGAAGGATGGTGGATTGGTGAAATTATTGATGAAGATGGAACTAAAAGAAGTGGGATGTTTCCTGCAAATTATACTGAGCCAATTCCTGTTGAATCATCGCCACCAAAAATACCCGCACGTCGACCAACAAATTTATCAAGACAATCGTCAGTAGAAGAGGAACAAGAAAGTGATGAAGAACAGGAAGATGATGAATCAGATGAACAAACACCACCTAAATCAAAAAGATCGCCACCAATCCGTCAACGACATTCACAAACAAGTGCGTCACAAAGGCCCGGATCGCCAACTGCTGGAACACCTCCAATCCCATCTCGCAGTTCAAAACCTCCGCCAGCTCGCCCAACATCTTCAACATCTATACCCCCTCGTAAAGCAGCACGTTCAAGTACATATGAATATTCATCAATCGCAAATAGTATTCCTAAAACAACAACGCCACCTTCAATAACATCAAGAAATTCATATATTCAAGATTATGTTAAAGAAACAACAACTCAAGATTTTGGGCCATGTAAAGAATGTGATTGTAATGACTATTCTCCTAATGTATTTAAGAAAGGAAGTTGTAAAAATTGTTTTCATATACACACATAGATGATGGGTGAATTCGATAGGATACAATATTTGTTGAGAATTTCCTAATTGCATGAGGATTAATTGTCGACAACTTAAAAAATATCGATTAATTATTTCAATTATTTAAAATAATTATTAATATCTTTCTTGCATTCATAGATCTCATTATTATTATAATGTTCAAGTTTGTTGTGCATTTATTTGTATACTTAGTTTAAATAAATTTTTGGTTTATAAATTATTTAAATTTAAATTGAAATAAAATACTTGGAGTGCAGCCAACAGGACTGGTACAAGTAGAATGAAATAATTAAGTTATAGGCATTTTGGTGGTGTTAATGTCCTCCTTTAATAAGTCTATATATTATATAATAATTATTATTAGATATAAAAATATTTTTAATACAATTTATAATATAAATACAGTATATTATTTAGCATTTATTTATTATTAAGTCTGTGCGTCATATTAACTGTAACAGATAACAAAATTTTGAACACAAAATATTATCTTTCGCTACAGTGATTTTTACTAAATACCTAAATACTCGTTAATCACTGCAACTACCTAAACATATTGGCTTCAAAATCAAGATAACTTGCATCAGTCGCATGTCGCCACGGATATTCTTCACAGAAATTCTAGTCTTATCCCTCGAAACTTTATTTACTTATGCTACAACAATAGAATAGAAATATCACACCAATAAACGCTTATTGATATTCTTTCCAAACACAAAGCTATACTAGAATTTATTATTTCAGCTGATTGCGACAATCGCTCTTCTATATTTAATTGGCTATCAGCTATCTTTCAGACATTCTTCCGGTGAATATACACGCTAATGGCTTAATTTCATTAGAACTCGCCTCTAATTTTGCGCACACATTTCCTAGTCTATTGCTTCCTTTTCTATACCCTGCTTAGAAAAATGAAACGATCATTTCAAATATAATGAAACGTAAAAGAGGCATAACAAAAAATCAATTTAAAACTATAGAAAAATGATCCCCTACAATTCTATGTGACGTCTAGATTTTGATCTTTCCCGCTTATATTCTGTAGTTCCTCTTTTCATTTATATACGAAAGGTGAATTTGCCTTAGGTTGAGCGGTTATTTTAGTTTAAGTTCTTATTCTATAATATTTTAGTTTTTACTTTCCCTTAATAAATTTGTCAATTAGTCGTGTCATGACTCATGACGCGTATGACGCAATTAATTAACACGTGACATCAAAATAGACTGTGTTTAGTATTTGTTATTATTTTGGGTAGACCATATCTAATTTATTTTTGGTAGATCAGTAATTCTACGCGGTTTTTTTTTAACTCCAAGAATTCACCAACAAAAATGCCTTCTCTTTATCCACGCGCGACACTTAAAAGGATCATTAAGTCCCACCAATCTAAAGCTTTAAGCAAGAATGTGGATGTATTAGTACGTGTTTTTTTTTGTTTTTTTTTTTTTTAGATTATCGCCTTGTTCTTATTATTTTTGCGTGTTTATCTTTCATTAGATATATCTTCATTGCGTGTTATTCCTTCAAAAGTTAGCAAAAGAATCTAATTCCGAAGCAGAAACCGACAAAGCAAAGGTAGTTGAGAAGAAACATGTCAAAGTTGCTTTAGAGGTGAGTTAAAATTGTGAACTGAATATTTCAACTTTATTTTACTCTAATATAATGACTTTATCCAAATAGAAAGTTTTACAAGATTTTCAAGGATAATTTTTTTAAAATGCCAGGAACCTATTTTCTAATCTTGAAATTATATTTGTTAAGAAAAATTGGATAACAAATGTTTAGCTCAACAATAACGAATTTATGCGACAAATAAAAATTTTTTCACAAGTTTGATTATTTATTAACTACTAAGTTAACTAAGTCTAAGCGCTCTTTTCTTTAAATTTATTCGAAGATTTATTTTGTTTGTCCAATGAATATTTTACCGGAATCGGGAGACCGGAATATTGGAATCGGAATAATAGCCCTGTTCATTTCTGTTCTGTTCTGTTCTGTTCCGATTTTAGTATAATTAATTTTAGCCAATTAAAAAACGGCGTGAATTGAGTAGAAAAATCGGGTTTGATCTGTTCTGTTTAATTCTAACCAATCATTTTAAGCATGTATTGCATTTTTAAATTTCGGAACATTCGGATCATCAATTTTTTTGATCCGTTGTTCCGGTTGTTGTTCCGATTTTTGAATGAATTTGATTGGCTGAAAAATATGGTAAAAATCGGAACAGAACAGAACAGAACAGAAATGAACAGGGCTAATGAATACCGGAAATCTATCTATACATACCAAAATAAATTCCAGTGTTCCGATTGTTTCGGTATAACATATTTTTTGTCAAATCATAATCCGTTTCCATAATTTTCTAAAAAGTGATGTAACTGGTTGATCTTGTTAATGCCTTCACAGTAAATTCCTCGATTTGATAGTTGATTTTTAGTAGATATACAGTGAAATTCGATATGCCGGAACCTTGATATATTCATAAGTAAAATCTTGATATATCGGAATTAGGTCTGGAACGGATTATCATAACGTGTAATTAATTTACCCTCGATATATCGGAATTCTTGATATAACGGATTTTTGACAAATTTTACTATTGGAACGGGTTATATCGAATTTCACTGTGTATATTGTTAATGATTATAAATAGTATGTAAGTATGGTATGTATACGGGGAAACTTACTATTTTTCAATAATTAGATTAATATTTTTTAAAAGTAAAATACAATTCTATAAAAAATTATATAAGTAAATAACTTTAATAATAAATATAATAATAAATCTATAATTAACTATATAGGTATATTTCAAAAATATAAAAATATAATAAGTAAAGACTGTAAAGTAGTCTAGGTATATATAAAATAAAATTATATCTTCAAAAAAAAATTTGTTTTTTTTTGTTTTTGCTTGCAGTGCAATTAATACTTTATTAAGATTAAAATAGCAAACTACGAATTTTAAGTAAACTACAAATAACCCTAAGTCCCTAATTCATTAAGTACTAAACTACTTGTCATCTTGCAAAAACACCATGTATGCACTATCAGAGACTTGGAGAGAAAGTAATTGCATGAAGCACTCCCTTTCTTAGAGAGAATTTCTCCTACCATATTTCCATATTTTTTTTTTTTTAAAAAAAAAATATTAAATTAAAATAAATACTTCAAATTACTTAAGCCATTTTTAAATTATAAATTATAAAGATAAATTCAAATTTATTTTTATAATATTTATTAGTAAATTAAAATAATATTAAATAGTCAATTAGTTATATTACTTATATAAGTAAACACTAGTTTTATTAAATAATTAGAATCTAAATAGTAATACTAAAATAATTTAGATTTCATATACCAAAATTATAAAATGAAATTTCAATCAATATTGCATAAAATAGATATCAAAATACTTATTTTATCAGGACGAATTTAATAAATTAAGATTATTAAATCCAATTACTGATTCTTAAATAGCAAAATTTAAAACTAAAAAATTATAGCTGTTTGCAAAAAGATGTAGTTAATAGTTTTTATCATATATATGTATAAAAAAAATCAGAAAATCAAAAAATCAGATTATTAATTAAATTTAGCTTAAAATTAAACTTTATCATAAACCAAAATAAAATCAAACTTAAATTTCTTAAAATTATATCCAAATTATAAAAATTTGTTATTACTTCTTATTTTATAAAAAACTTATAAAATAATGGCTGATACACAATATACTAAACTTAAGTATAAACAAAGAACTTGCTTTAGTACCAAATGTGTTTATATTGTGGAATTAATTTACAACAAAAAAAATGTAAATGTACAATAACTAAACTATTAAATGAAAGTAATTGGATGCTGTTGTCAAAAATGCATATACACGAATTTACAATCCCAATTGGATAAAAGATTGAATTTCCTTTATTCAAGAGAAAGTTTTAACATATAACTATTCAGTAATTTGAAAAGGACTTTCAATTTTTCACTTTTCAATCTGTGTTATTTAAATGCAATAATTCTATACAAAAATTGATTTCAACCAAAGTAAAAAATTCAATAAACTTCAAACCTACATCTGAAACTATGCAAATATCCCAAAATATGTAATTGAAACCAGAAGTATATGAACTTACTATTACAGAAAAGGAAATCACATTGCAAAATTCACTAAAAATGACCTTAGAATCTGATAAAAATAATGAAGATACATCTATAGGCGATACAAATAAATCCTCTTGATATATAAGTTTAGCCATTTATCTTAAAAGGTAAGAATATGTGAATTTCATATAATAATATTATCAAATAGAATTCAAATTCTAATAATTTCTGGTTTATATTACCTATACTTTTGGTTATCAAACGGAATACTCAAAAAAATACTTTAAGAAGAATAGTACATTATTCAAACTGTAATAGTAGAAGACTAAAAAGTTTAAACTTACACTGATAAAAAATATTTCAATAACTATGACTGGATATTTATCATAAGAAAAGGTTAATATTCATAAAATTGTTATTTTCTTTTCACTATAATGCAACTCAATATCTGACAAATTTAGGGAAATAAGGTCAAATTATTGTAATGAAAATTAAAAATGCAAAAAAAAATATATGACTATGATTATATCAATCGATTTCAACAAGTAGATTTTATAGAATTGGAATAATGGAGTTTGGACTGCTCCATAGGAAAAATGCCTATTAAATAGTTTTCAGTATTTTAAACTCTGAAGTAATAAGAAATTTTAAACTATTATAATGGATTTACTCAAATCTATTATTGAAAGTATACTATATAATGCTAAAAATTCTGCTCATCTATATTATCACAACTTAATGGTACTTTAGCATTTAAGATAATTTAAGACTGTAAACATAAAAAATTAATTATGTATTATAATATACAATCAACTCTTGTTATAACGAACCCTAGGTTCCAGATCCCAACTTCGCTATAAGGCTATAGTGAAGATTTTAAGAGATTTGATTGGTTAATTCGTTATAGCAAAGGGAAATTTATTATAGTTGTCTGAAAAATTCACTATATTAAGGGTTCACTATATCAAGGTTTAACTGTATAGGCAAGTTTAGATAAAGCTTTAAATATGGAATTTTATTTTAAAGAATTTAAAGGTATTTAGTAAGTTACAAAAGAAGAATCTTAACTAAAAGCAGAACTAAGGCAAGAATTTTAATATTAAGTATAAGAATTCAGATAAATAGAAGTCTTCAGAAAAAAAAAAGGAATCTTCTAATAAACAAACCAGTATATCTGTATATATATTTATTTTATAGAAAAATGCATTTTTTCTTTCCTTTTATTTAAATTGTATGAAAGATACCTTTTTTTTATATACTTTATATTTAAGTTTTTTAATCCTTTTTAAATGAAACTATATTTGTTAAAGTATAAATTAAATAAACAATATAAATAATATAGTAATTTAACTTTTTCATTCTAATCACTATATAAAATTGATTTCCAATCCTATTATTTTAAAATTCCTTTGCCTTTTGGTAAAGAATCTGCCTGCTTTTTATATTTTACAAGTTGTCAGATATATAACCTTTAAGTAATATTCTGTAAGTTTTAGTAAAGCAATTATGAATATAGTTAAAAATAACATTATTTTTAAATATAAAAAATTACATTTTAATAAATATAATATTATAATAGAGGCACTGAAACTTTTTTAAAATACTTTTAATTACCCTTAAATTTTTAAATTAGTATGTATGTGATTTAAATGGGTTGTTTGATTTTTTATACCTAAATAAATGCCTTTAAATATTTATCTTGACTATATATGGCCAAAAAATAATAGATATTTATTTTATTCTAAAGGGTTATTATTAAATAATAGATGAAGTACACTTATTTTTAAAATTTAATATTAAAATGTCTGCAAATGATGTCTAATTTTAGTATTGTAATTATGAGCGAATTCTTTAAATATCGGGTTTATGTCCTAAACAAATAAAATACATTAAAAAAAATGAGAGTATTTTTCTTACAGGTCACCAAAAAAAAATTTTACGATACTATCCTTTTTGTTTTTTTTAGAATTTTCCTAAAAGATGCAGATGATTACGATCCGGAAATTTTCAAAAATACAAGCCTTATTATCATAAGAATGGCTTATATGGCTATGTTACAAAATTTAAAACCAATTAAATTGCTTTTTCTATATATACCAAAAGCCTAATTCATTGAAAATCAGCTAATTCGATCAACTAGAAAATAGGGTCGAAACATTTTTTTTTTTATAATGGCTTTTTTTTTGAAAAAACAAAAACTAGCCCTATCAGTAAAATAAAGTAACAAATAAAAAAAAGGTCCGGGCGTTACGATTTTTTTTTTTATTCGTTAGATATAAAATTTGTAATCAATTAGTCACCACTATCTTGTGAATTTTATACGGAACGTTATTCATCATGATGTCAGGCTAAAGAATTACATCACATGTTCAAATTATTTCATCATCAAGATTATCGAAACCTGTGATCAAAAAAGCCATTGATTGGACTGTATCACCAACTCAGCCCTCCCGCAGTTATCCTTTTCCATAACCGAATTTTACCCCTAATATTCCCTCACACAACATAAAATTACAGTACAGGAGTGCAACATTTATACTATAATACCCGTTGGAAATTAGTTAAACATCGTCATCTCCCTTTTTTTTTGCTGCCGTCACCTTTAAAGAGCGACGTCGTCCAAAAAAAAAAAACCGATGTCGTCCAACCTTGAATAAAAAAAACGACGACACGCGATTTCTATCATATTTAATATTAATCTTTTTCAAAAGGGATTTTTTATACACAACCTTTTTAACAAGAGAATTTTTGTGGTAACAACGCCACATTTACTTTTTATATATCAACCTTAAGCTCATCTGACAAACATTTAAAAAGTTAAAAAGATGCCACAGGAATTACAGTCAACAAACCAACAAAGTCAGACTACTACTGTTGAAGAAGTCAAACCTACGACAACAGTTACAGCAAGTAAAAATAAATTAGAGCAAAAATTTAATAAAAATGACGACACTTCTAAATCACTCAAGAGAACTGCTCCTGTTGACGTTTCTAGTCAAGGTGACGCCAAACGTAAAGCTACTCAAGGATCAAAAAAATCATCAGAAAAACAAATCGACAATGCTAATTTAAAAACTACCGATCCTACTGCCATTGCGGCAAATGCCGCAGCTATTTTATCAAGTGTACCTTCTTCTGTGGCCCAAAATGTAGTAGGTCAGTCCACAGAGTCTACAAAAATTTTGTCAAATCCACAGCTTGATGATGTATTGACTGCTGCTGCAAATTCTATGAATTCTCCTATTGCAGTTGCACCCCTAATCCCGAACCAACAAACCGCAATTAATGATCTTTCCCCCACGCTTCATTCTAACATGGAAGAATTTTTGAACAATGCCGCAGCAAATGCTCAGGCACCGACACCACAGCCTCAGGATAATTCTGGTAATAAACGTGCCGTTAGTACTCGCAACCTTACCAATGATGAACGCCGACAACGTAGACTTTTGCGTAATCGAGTTGCTGCTAAAGAATGCCGACGAAAGAAAAAAGCGTATGTTGCTGACCTTGAAGAAAAGGTTACTCGTCTAGAAGATGAAAACAGTCGACTTAACAAAGAAATTGATGAATTGAACACCAAGTTAAGCTTAAATGTTATGAAGCTTGAAGAAAATGCACGTCTACATAAAGAAATTGAGGAGTTAAAGACAAAGTTGAACACAACACAACAAGATGCAAAGAAAGAAACCAGGTCAAAAACCAATGATGAGATTGAACCGGTTAAACAAGAATTAAATGCAAAATCTTGATTAGTCATCTTAATAGATTAAAAATTTTTTTTTTTCTTTTAAGGAAAAAAAAAAGTTTTTTTTTTTTTTGATTCTTTCTCTTTTTTTATTTTAATCGTTATTATTGGGGTTCGTATATTTTTCTTTTTTTTTTCAATACATACCCCCTTTTAAAAAGTTTATTAAACACAGCATCATCCACGAACATTAATTGAATAATCTTGGTGACGGATAATTTGGTGGGGATAATTTGATGGATTAAAAAAAAAAAAATTATATATGGGAATGATAAATTATAAGAGAATAAGAGTGAACAAAAATTATTTAATATGATTCATCAATTGATTGGAATTAGTTCAACCTGTCCACTCTATTTTTCTCTTTTATTTTTATTTTAAAACAAAATTTTAAAAAATTTAAAATTGGGTTTTTTTATTGATTATTAGGTTATGAAAATAATAGATAATAAAACCTTTGTAAAAATTCTTTTTCATTTTTTTTCTAAAAAAAAAAAAAAAAATAAATAAATAATAAAAATTTTTAATCAAAATTGAATTTTTCTTTTTTTTGATAATCATTAATAAAAAAAACGGTGTTTGTTGAAAGAGATTAAATGTTTATCGCCTTAAATAAGCGGTCTTATCTGACGTTCGCACTAAAAGAAAATCCAATAATCTAGACAATGAACAAAAAAATTTGCATTTGAGGTTTTTATTTGAAGCGAATCGGATCGACAGATTGGTTTGATTATCTATCACGTGTTTAGTAACTTCGATTAAATTTTACTTAATGAATATCATAATATAATAATAATATATATAAAAAATATATTTTCTCTAAATGGATATATTTTATTTTTTTTTTATTTATACAAAAAAAATCAATAATTTATCAGGTATACTATGGACGATCTTCTTGAGTACAGTCATGTGGACTGAATTATTAATAATTTCTAATTTTCAAGGAATAAAATATTACTTTTATATAAACGTGGTAGTAGAGTAATATCACATCTTATAACTATAATCTCCTCTTTCACTATAATATTTCTTTTTTCTTATTGTTATTAAAAATTCTTTAAAAATTGATATGAATAAGTAACATGTTAAAAATAGTAACATACGTCAATTTTTTGAAAATTTCGTGTACTTTAATTATATTAATGTTTAACGCGTGTGACCTTAAACGACAATGTAATTATTAACTACTAAATTACATGAACATGATATTATAAACATTTAAACGTATTGTTGGCACGAAAGTTATTCACAATATATTAACCGTATCGTAATAAAAAGTACAAATGATGCAGACAATAAAATAAAATTCTAAATATGTTACTAAATGTGTCTCTTTAAAAATTCTTAAATTTCATTATTATTATTTTAAGGGATCTTAATACAATTGAGACATGTCTATTAATAACATGTATTATTATTTCAAAATATTCACAAGAAAATTTCTTAAAATCTTTTGCCCTTAATCATTACAAGATTATTGTAGATTTTTTTAGCAAAACAAAAAAAATTCAAAAAAGTGTGAGAACATACAAAATCTGGCTTAAAAATATTGTAAGCCTCTTCACCATGAAATATACAATTGTAAAGAAGTTTATTGGTTACCACTAGAGGCAACAGCAGAAATTAAAATAGCAATAGTTTATGAAATAAAAAATAAATTAAAACAACATGCTAAACATATGGATTCTTATAGAATCAGGATTAAATGTACAGAAAGTGAATTCTTTTGGGTTTTTAATGGTCATATACATCAATATAATCAAAAATCTGGTAGTTGATTTTTCGCTATTTGCTTCATTAATAGTCTTCATATGAATTATCCAAAGCTGTTTGTCTTTTGTATTATTTATAACAGATGGAATACTTAACCATTGCTTCTTTTGGTAAAGAAATAGTTGAAAGTAAAATAAGTTTTTAGAATATTGATGCGAATATATATACAGTGGTAAACATACACATCAGAAGTATATTTAAGTGGCATAGTTTAATTTATTGGCTGACAATTGATATCTTACTGATTGCAAAAATATCCCCCAAAATTTTAGGGACTTGGCCAATATAATGTAAATTTAAATATAAATAAGCTCAAAAAAAAATCTGGTTATTTCTATCAATTTTTTTTTTTCCCTTTTTTTTAAAAAAAAAATTTCAATGACACGTTTTTCTGCCTGGCACTTATACTTATTATACATGTATTATCCATTAATAATCAATGAAAAAATATTGATATAGATATTTATAATTAATTTATTTTTTAAATTTTTAAATTTTAAAATATTATTTCAGATGGAAAGATATTTTATATAAAAACAAACCTTCATAAGATCATTCAAAAATCATGATTCTTACGATAATTAATCTGAAGTAGGACTATATATTATTCATATCAGTTTTACAATTAATAATGGTTTCTGTTTCCGTCAAGCCATCTTAATTCAACTCAAATAAATGCTAATGAAATGACATTGGCCAAACTTAATGCAAAAAAGGACATAAAGCTTTATGAATTGAAGCACTTATTACATACCATTAAAGATGGTCATCGGTCCTAAAGACCATCGGTCTCCCCGGTCCTACATGCAAAAAGACCGGACCGCGTAGGACCGCAGTCTTTTGCGGTCCTCGTGATCATCCAATGGATCAACAAGACTGACGGTCTTTTTTAGGACCGCAGTCTTCAAAAGACCGATCAATATTATTAATAGATCAGCTAAATTATCTGATCTATTTTTTTATTTTTTTAATCACTTTTTTTTAGGTAGTAGGAACGGGACTAGAAATGCCCCTATAAGTAGTTTCCTTAGTTACTTTGACCGTGACTAACTCTTCCTTCCTTCCTTTTTTTAGAATTGTTTTTTAGAAAGGAGGAATAGGACTAAATGCCTCGGTAAATGGATTGTTTTCTTTCTTTTTATTTTCTTTAATCATTACTAATTTTTTCTTTTTCTTTATTATTAGACTACTTTTTTTAGATAAAAAAAGTCGATTCATTTTTATATTCCATCTTTTTTCCGTAAAAGGCTCATATTTCCGGAATTAATAACCTTATATCACGGAATTTATCAAATTATTTACATTTCGTGAATGGATTCGTGAAAGACTCATTTTTATGAAGTTTTTTCAGAAATAACAGATAAATTTTTTATGGGTAGGAATGGAACTAGAAACGTCTTGGTTTCTTTAGCCGTTACTAACCCTTCCTTTCTTTTTTTTTTTAGAATTGGTTTTTTTAGGAAAGACGAATGAGACTAGAAATGAAATTTTTTTCTTTTTTTTTTTTAGGTTTTTTAGGAAGGGGGAATAGGACTAAATTCCTCAATTTCTTTTAGTTTCTTTGTCACTAATTCTTTCTTCTTTTCTTTTTTTTAGGGCCACTTTCTTTTAAGAACCAGGATGGGACTCCAGAGATGGGATTATAAAACAAAAGATAGAGAAAAACTTAACATTTGGAAAAAAAAAGTCTCGGTAAATGATTTTTATTCTTTTATTTTTTATAGATTCTTTAACCGTTGCTAATTCTTTCTTTTTTTTAGAATCAATTTTTTTTTTATGAAGGAGGGATAGGGTTAGAAACTCCTTGACGCAATTTCAATGTTGTATTTTATATTTTTCATAACAATATTAAATAGCATTAATAATTTGAAAGGATAATAGTAAAAACAATTATAGTATCATTAAATAAAAAAAATTAAAAATTTAGCACTAACAACAATAACAAATATTTATTGATAAGTTTTACTTTATTTAACTACACCTAAATATTAGTAAGATAGCTAGTTATTTGAATTATTCAACCTTTCCTTGTTCTAACCATGACTTTAAACACAAACATGCCCGTGCTGTTTCTGGATGCAACTGATTTCGTGTCTGAGTTATCTGTTTTCCAGCGACCGAAAAAAATTGCTCACAAGGAACAGAGGTAGACATTATAGTTAGATAATCCCGAGCCATTTTTGCCAATACTGGAAATTCAGTTGCATGAATTTTCCACCAGTCTAATGGCATTACTTCATTACCAGGAGGATGGGAATCAAAGTAAATATCTAATTCATTTGAAACTAATTGTTGAGTTTGATTAGGCATGAATAAGTCCTGAAAATAGCTTCGTTTTTCCAATAATGATAAACTAGCAAGTCGACGTCGTACAGTAGTAGTTTGAGAAACAGGTGTAGTTAATTCTTGATAATTAGCCATTAATTCTTGAATTGGCTGAAATACTTCCTCTCGTGACATATTTCCATATGATGATTTTTTGTATCTAGGATCTAAAAATGCTGGAATATGTAAGGACTTGTTAAATTGCCCAAAATAATTATTAAAAACACGTTTCATTTCATTTATTTGGGCTTGCAACTTATAATCATCATTTCGAGATTTTTCCAAGTGATTTTTAATACCAAAAAAAAGCCATTTAACTTCCCCAATTGTTGGATAACTGGAAGCAGATATAACTTTTGTTATTAACGCAAATGGTGCTAATAATTCCAATAAATCAGCAAGAATTTCCCATTTTTCTTCAGTTGGCCAATTATTTGTTAATGTTTGGAGATTTGAAACCAAATGCGCTAAAAGTGGCTTAATTTCCAATGCCCTTTCAATCATATAATATGTATAATTCCACCTTTTTACAATGTCAGGAAGTGGAGTTTTAAAATCAATATCCTCAACTCTAAAATATTCTTTTAACTTATCCATTTGTTTGGGAGAATTTCTAACTGTACTAATAAAATTACGTAACTTTTTGACAGATTGAGGTATAATATGTATTTCAAGTGCTGCACTTACAACTAAATTTAAGATGTGAGCAGCACAGCGATAATGTTGAAAAGTTGACAATTCAAGAGTTTCTTTAATTTGACGAGTTGCAGCTATCATTTTTGCTTCATTATCGCTGGTAATTCCAATTAATTGATTTGTAACTTGAAATTCATTTGTAATTTCTTAAACAGCATCTTTAATCGTGGGTGCATCATGTGGTGAAGGAATATATAAAACATCTAAAACAAAATGCTCAAATTGCCAATTATCATTGATAAAATGAATAGTTACGGCCAAAATACCTAGTGCATTAATGGAAGTCCACATATCCATTGTGAGTGAAACTTTAGATGTTAAAAGTTGAAGATTATTAGAAACTTCCTCTCTTGATTTTTTAAATTTTGAAATTATCATTTCTTTTAAAGTATGTCGTGATGGTAATTTATATCTAGGCTGAACTGCTAACATAAATTTCTGAAAACTTAGATTTTCAACGAGGGTAAATGGCTGCTGATCAATGATGACCCAATTAATCAAAAATGCGTGTTTTTCCTTTTGTTCTTCAGCTGACCATGGTTCTAAAGCTACGTCGGCAAAATTATGAAGATTTACATATACATTATTGTGTTTTGCTTTTAGGTGACGTTCAAGAGTAGTTGTAGAATTATTTGCTGAAAGAAAACATTCACCAATATTGCAATGAATATATTTTATAAGTTGTTCATCTCCCTCTTGATTTTTTTCAATTTTTTCTTTTCGTGTGAAGAACTTCCATATTGGCGAAATTATAGGGCTAGCCACCTTTATATCTGTTATGGTTTCTTCTACTTCATCTATACTTTCATCATCTTCAGGATTAAAGATAAACTCATCTTCAATAAAAATATCAGAAAAAGCTTCATTTTCACTTTCATCTATAATTTCTATTAAAGATGAATCTGCCATCTTGAAATAAAACGATGTGGCGAGATGTAAATTTTAGATCTCGTTAATCATTATATCGATAAAACTTAATTAAGTAAATGAAATTTGTCAATCATTAATTGGACAATTTTTTCCGTTCAAAAAAAGAATTGATCGATTACTTATTTATTTTGGAGCTAAATAAATTACAGCTATTTTAATATTCCCAAAATTAATTTTTGCAAATTTTTTAACTCAGATGATTGATAAATGTTTATTATATAATTCATAATTATTAAATGTAATCTAAGAAAAGAAAAAAAATTATTAGTAATCTGCTGTTGCTACAAAACATTATTATATTGAATGTTTGAAAAAAAAAAATCTCACAAAAATTACTTACTGAAACTAAGATTCTGTATGGTTTCTTAAAAAAAGAAAGGAACACCTATCAAATCAAGGCGTTTATAGTCCTAATAATTTCTAAAAGAAGAAAAGGTTAGTGATGGCTAGCTAAAGAAACAGAAAAGAAATAAGGAAACATTTACTCACAAAATCAAATTGTTTTTAGAGTACGTTCCTAAAAAGAAAAGGAAGGTTAATAAAGGTTAACGTTAAAAAAACAAAAAAAAAGTGTTTTTTAGAGTTATTAATGATTAATAATAGAAAATAAATAAATAAAATATTACCAACCAAATCAAAAAATCTTTCTACAGTTCCTAAGAAAAAAGAAAGAAGGGTTAGTAACGGTTAAAAGAAACTAAAAGAAAAAAAATTCTACTTACCGACGCAAATATTCCACTTTCCAAGGTAATTCTAGTCCCATTTCTGCTTCCTAAAAATACGAACCTAAAAATAAGAAAAAGGGTTAGTAATTGTTAAAAAATCAAAAAAAATTAAAACTAATTAAAGGTTAGACAATTAAATTTTACTTCCCTAATCACAGACGAGTGGATGTAATAAATCGATTTAATAAGAGAATGATATTCTTTTTGGCAAGTAATTAATAGTGCTTAGTGAGTTAGTTACTTAGTTTCCTTTCCAGTTCGTTGGGATTTATTTAACCCTTCTTTGTCATATTATATTATATAGTTTTATTTATTTCGCCATTATCTTTTATAGTCATTTTTAGAGTCCCGAATTGTTCTTAAAAAAAGAAAGAAAAGGATTAGTTAGTGATGGTTAAAGAAATTACTAAAAAAACAAAAAAAAATCCACTCACGAAAGCTACATATCTAAAGTCCGAATAGTTCCTAAAAAAAAACAAACGGAACTATAAAGACTGTCTCTTATACACATCTAGATGTGTATAAGAGACAGGTCTTAGGTCGGTCCCCGAAACGGTCCTACTGCGCCACAAATAATCAGGACCGTAGTCCGGTCCTACGAAGACCGGGACCGGTTGAGACCGGACCACGTAGGACTGAGTAGGACCGTTGACCATCTTTACATACCATTGAAAAAATTATTAATAAATATAGCAAAAAAAATAATTATATTAAATTTATTATAAAATAAAATAATTTATGCTGAAGTTTATTATAAAATAATTAATTATATTAAAGTGCTTCAGATTTGATAACAGTTTCCATTATACATGAAACTGAAATTGGTTAATTTTGACCTTTGAAATGGTCGAAATGGTCAAAATGATTTCGACTTGAGCCCTTACAAAAGTCAAAATGGTCAAAATTACATCATAGTCATATGATTTTATAGTAAACAATAATATTAAAATTCAAAGTTAACGAACTCCACATCCAGTGATTCGATTTTTATGATCTTTACACGGTTGGATTCAGCTCATTGAGAGGATTTCAATGATATGTATTTCATATCTGTAGCATCAATATTGACGGAGTTATTCATGTTTAAAAATTTTATATTAAATTATACCATACAGTTCTAAAAATAAGCATCCCCCAAAAATAAGCAACCCTGGCCCGCATTAAGCCGATTTTGGCCGGAATTATGAGGACTTTGGCCAGAATTAAATGCAAAAAATGGTTGCGTAATTTCGGAACCGTACGGTAATTATAAAAATCACATGACTATAATGTAATTTTGACCATTTTGACTTTAATTTCAACTTTTGACCTTTCCAAGTCGAAATATTTCTACTTTTAGGCTTTAATTTTGACTTCATGTATAGTTTCCATTTCTATCAAGCCATTTTAATTTAACTCAAATAAATGTTAACACCATATATAGTTAAGGATAAACTTAAAGAAATGGCAAAACAAGATTTGGATTATGATGACAAGATTTATGAATGGAGGCACTTATTACATACTATAGAAAAAATAATTAATAAATATGGCAAAAAAAAATAAAAAAATAATTATAATTAATTAATAAAATTTTAACATGTATAAATTATTTTATTTTAGAAGTTTGCTATTTACCACCACTGGTGGTCAGCACCAGTATCATGTGATTATAATTAATTAATGAAACTTAATTATTTTATTTGTGTAATTTTTTTATACGACCGACTAAAAAATAAAAAATTGCGTACACCTTTAATTTTTAAGAACACCCCAGTCAAATAAATAATAATGGCAAAAAGAGTATAAGGAATAAGAAAGAACAAAAATAGTAATAAGAATAGGATGAAATGATAATGGAAAAAGAACAATAGGAGACGAAATAACAATGAAAAGAAAAGTATAGGATGAAATGATGAAGAAAAAGCAATATAGAATGAAGTGATGATAGAGAAAAAATGATATAGGACATGATGGTGATGAAAGAAAATTATAAAGTGATATAGAACGAAATGGTGATGAAAGGAATGGTATGAGGACGAAATTATAATGATGAAGTGATATAAACCGAAATGGTAATGGAAAAGAATAATAGGAGATGATTCAGACGAAATAGCAATGAAAGAACAGTATATATGGGATGAAATGATGATGAAAAGCAATATAAAATGAAATGATGATAGAAAAATATGAGACAAAAAGGTGATTAAAGGAACGGTATGGATTGAAATGATGATGAAAACGTGATATAGAACGAAATGGGGATAGAAAAAAATGATAAAGACGAAATGGAATGAAATGATGATACAGAACAAAATTGTAATGAAAAAATGATATAGGATGAAATAGAGATGAAAAAATAATGTGGAACGAAATGGAGATGGTAAAAGAATGATAGGAGATGAAATGGTAAAGAAAGAAACAATAGGCATAATAGGAAAGAAAAAAAACTATAAAGCCCAAAAAAGAAGTGAAAGTCTGACCAAAAAAAGAAAGATATATAGTTAGTTAAAGAAAATTAAGTCCCAATCCCAAAAGACCAAAAATGAACTTACTATTTATAAGGATACTGGTGCCAAAGTTTTAAAGCCGTTAAAATGTGGAAAGAACTACTTACAAATAGTGACGAAGTGGTGAAGTGGAACGAAATGGAGGTAGAAGTGATGAAGTGGAATGAAATGGAGGTGAAAGAACGAAATGAAAGCAGAAGTGACAAAGTGGAACGAAAAGAAGAGAGAATAGTTAATATTAATAAAGGAAAAAAGACATACACAACGTTAAAAAATATGTATAACTTACTGAAAGCAAAGGAAGCAACTACAAAAAAAATAAAATCGCGTAAAAAAAACAAAAAATAAACTAATAAATCTGATGAGTGACGCAATAACAAATAGAAACACGTGACACTGGTGCTGAACACCACTGGTGTTACGTAGTAATTTTATTTATTTTATAATAATTATTTTATAATAACTTTTAATATAATCATTTTATAGTAATTTTATAGTTAACTTTAATTATTTTATATTAATTTACCAAATATAATTATTAAAAAGAATGTACCATTAAAAATTATTAAAATATAACTAAAGTTTATTATAAAATAATAATTATATTAAAGTTTATTATAAGTTTATTATAAAATAAATTCATAAATCATAAAAATAACATAAAAATAAAAGATTTAAGTTAAATTCGTGATTTTCTATGATGTTCAATAAAATTCACAATAAGCATTCTTTATTATGAAAAGTAAAAACTAAAGTCATTGATAATTGTGTTACATCTAATTCTAAAATCTCATTGGCCATTACACGTGACATGGCAGATAGACAATATATTATTAAAAACATAACAGATAATATATCAATAAATTTTGTCCAATTGCGAAATGCTATTAAATTCATGAAATTCAGAATAATAATAATTAAAACATTAAATTGAATTTACAACTTGTTAAAATCACTTAACATACAAATAATTTATTTTTTGATTTTAATAAAAAAAAAAAAAACTTTTTTATATTCATCATAATAATAGAATAAAACCAATATATTATATATAGAAATCTTACATTCTTACATAGTTTCTGCTGAAAAAGCAGATGAGTGAGTTTAATAAGTTATAAAAATTTCATTTATTATTATTATTATTATTATTGCATAAAAACTTATCAAAAAAAAAAAATCCATTTTAATTACAATATTATATTAAAAATAATTAATAAATATATATTCCATAAGATGTACATATGCATATACTAAGTACATATAGTTAAATAATTTTCTTTTATTAATATATATATATATTTAATAATAATTTGTAAAAATAAAAAAAAAATTAATTTTATAATTTTAAAAAATATTTATTATTTATTTCTTAATTATTTTTTTTTACCTGAATATTTTTTAATGATTTTTTCAATAGCAGGCAACAGATACCTCCATTCATAGAGTTTAATATCTTTTTCAGTATTTCTTGGTTTTGCAAATGAATAAGACATTAAATCTTTATATATTTCATCACTATCATTCTTATTTTTACCAACTGTTATTGGTTTATATTCTTCAAGATTACGACGAATTCGATTCTTTTCATCTGAAGTAAGTCTAATTCCTGTTAGACTTTCAAGTAAATTTAGGTAATCCGTTGAAGTAAAATACCATTTGTCACATTGTATTTTCTTATCATACCAATAAAGGCAGGAAATAAAAATACCATTTTTAGGCCGTTCAATTGGATCAACGGCTTTAAAAAAAGCCATAATTCGTTTTTTTACTCTAGTTTTAAAAAATTGAACCACTCTTCGTCGAACATTCAACTCTTCTTGAGACCATGACTGTGTCATATCGTTATGATTTCCATCAAAAGAAATTTGGACACCATTAAGCAAATCAGTCAAACTTTCCAAGGTAAAGATTTGAATCTTGTGTTTATGATCTGTAGGATGGCTTGATGGAATTATGGATTGTTCTGTGGATACATTAATAAAAAAAAAATAATAATTTAATAATGTACTATAAGATTAATTATAAAACTTTTTATACGTACCAGGTTTGCAATCCAATGTTGCGTCTGAAATTGCATCTGAAATTGATGCATCTGAATTTGTTGACAAATCTGAAGTTATCAGATCATAGCAATAATTATCATAAGGAATCTCAAATGAATTGTTATTATTGCTTAATGCATTTGAAATTAATGAAATTGATACATCTGAAATTGTTGACAAATCAGAAGTTATTGGATAATAACAATAATTATCGTAAGGAATCTCAGATGAATTGTTATTATTGCTTAATGCATTTGAAATTGATGAAATTGATACATCTGAAATTGTTGACAAATCAGAAATTATAGGATAATAGCAATAATTATTGTAAGGAATCTCGGATGAAGTTAATAAATAATCTATATAAAATTTTTAAAAAATATATATAAATTAATTTTTATCAATTTGAGATGAACGTGAATTTATATTACATAAAAAAATATATATATACCAATTATATTCATTGTTAAAGAAAGAGAGAGACTTTATTAAGAGAGAGATTTTATTAAGGGAGAGATTTTATTAAGAGAGAGACTTTATTAAGGGAGAGACTTTATTAAAAGAGAGACTTTATTATTTTTGCGAAATAAAAAAAGAAAAAAATAAAATAAAGGATAATGAACCTTTTTATATACATTATATGATCAAGCATTTTATCTCTATCGATATATTATTATATGTTATATATTGTAATAATTACAATAGTTGAAAAAAATGGTTGTGTGACTATAATTTCATCATGCAATATTGTACTCGAAATTACAAACCTAGGCTCATTAGATCAATCTAATTAATGAAGAACGTAAGCGTAAGCATATGAGAAAAATAAATAAAACGCTTACAACATCAAAATTTAATTAATAATATAATTAAATTAAAAACATAAAAAAAAAATAATATATTTCATCCAATAATTTTGAAACTTTGAAGAGATTCCGTAAATAGAATAATAATGACACAGACCATATAATTATCAAATAAAAAAGTCAATTTTTTTTTTTTAAAAAAAAAGAAGTTAGCCCTTTTTTTGATCTACGATCTGGTAAATCAAAAAATCCAAATGTACATTATGCTATTGTTTTATAAATTTAGCTTCTAACCGTGTTACAAATGTATATCATTGCTGCACTTTGAAATTTTAATAGGCAAGTTCATCTATAATAAAAAAAAACTCCAGAAATTTTTCAATAAACATTTGAATCATGATTTAAATAGATCAAGGGAGAATTATCTATTTTTTTTTATTACTTTAAATGTTTTACAATCGGGAGCAAACGATAAAAAAAAAAAGATGAAAATATATGAAACTAACAAGCCACTTTTTTTTCCCATCTTTTTACTAAGTAATAAAACCTGTTTGACGAAAAATGAGATAGAAACTATCCTAAAAGTTATAAAGCTAAACTTAATTTATTAAAAATTTAAATTATTATATACAAATATGATATATATATTATTTGACATAAATATGAATATAACAAAATCTTCTGCGGTCATCTGGTAATGAGTAGATGTTATATTAACAATAGTTATGTAGACAATATGAATTACGAAGATGAATTGCGAGTAAAAATGACTAATAACAACAAATTCGCAATACATATAATAATTTACAGGAAAAAAAAAATCTTTCCTCTTGTAAAGTGAATTGCATCATTCTTACTATATATGATTAGATCTCATGGTGTGAGAGTTTTATTAAACTTCTAAATTGCATATATTTAAGTTAAAAATGTTTAAGAATTTTATTTATTTTCTTTATTTAACAATGTTTCTCACGTGATTAATATTTACAGCCAATTAAATTAGGTTAGATCACGTTTCTTAAATGTTTTAAGTAGTTTCTACAGTTTTTTGCATTTTCGTTCCTTTACGCGTAAAATTTTTTGAATAGAGAACAATAAAAATGTTGAAATTTTTTTACTAAGTAAATAAGTATTGTTTTTCATAAAAAAAAGTTTTAAATGGTACGCTTCTCTAAAATAACTTTGTTTACCTACAAATTATAAAGAAAAATTTCAACTCACTTCGAATGCTGTACTTTATCGTCTATATATTATGAAGTTTAAAGCTTAAAGCTATTATCTTTTTACTCGTTCGTCAAAAAATTTATTGTTTCTTAGCACAAAAAAGTTCATTTCAAGAACTTTCGCATGTACTAGAAGGTTCAAAAAAAGTTTTTCTAACCTAACTTTCATTCCAACTCAGCATTTTATGATAAAGGCGATACATTATCAATTCAAAATGAAAAAAAGTGTTAATAGGTAAGTGCATATCTATTTGGAAAAGTGAGATCCTGTTCTATAAAACAGAACGGTTTGTTATCGTACAGTGAAGAGATATTAGTTGTAAACCTCCTGAGGTTTTTCAAAAAACCCCGTCAATCTCCTACAACTAACAATAAATATCTGTGATTTTATTATTGATATAAAAGGATCTTTCATATTTTTTTTAAGCCTCAAGGTTAAATAGTCGAGATCTCGAACATCATTAATTTAACTTGGACAAATACAGATACAGGATTTTGTTCGGTCAAGGTTTGCTTCTTTATATTTATATAATATGGATAAGGAGATTAATCATCAGCCGAATCAGTAATACATAGATGTGATAAATGTGATAAGTATCGTATAATGAATGTGAATTAAGGTATGTTGATTTGCCTTTATAAAATAAGAGAAATGTAGTAATTATTTTCTTCTTTTTTGGTTTAAAACAGGCGAGAGACCCTTTCGAGTGGAAGAACCAAAGGAGGATGAAAGTGAGAGAGGTATTATTTAGGATTTAAAAATTAAAAGAATATCTGTGAATTTTTTATTTATTATTTAAAATTATTTTATTATTATAATCATCAAGATAGCTAATATATGTTTATATTTTTTCAAGCATGATCTAAATCGAAGATCATATACAGGTGTATAAAGTTACTCGCTTATTTATTAATTATAGATATCATTATACCAAAACTTATTACTAGGTATAAATTAATAAATTATGGATCAAAAAAAGATAATATAATATAATATAATATAATATAAAAATATTTATTTCTCTCATCACAAGTATACGTAATCAAAAAGATAAATTTATATTTGTACAACTATTTGTAATAATGTTGATTGGCGGATTTTCAAATTTTTTTTTTTTTTTTTTGACAATGATACAAATTCAAAGATAGTAATTTTTTACTTTGTTTAAAAAAATATGAACAATGAATATGATCTTTTTGATTATATAAAAATTATTTTTATTATTTTTTTTAATATTTTATTTTTTATTTTTATTTTTTATTTATTTTTTTTTTAAAAAAATAAAATAAAATAAAATAAAATAAAATAGGACTCACTTTTGAATATTATTGATAATTCAAATAATGAATAAAAGCTAAAATATAAAATTTTTTTTATCAAAAGATTATTAGGTAAGAAAATCAAACAAAAAAGAAACATTCAATATAATAAAAATAAATAAAATAAATAGAATTATATTCACGTCAAATTATTTAACTATTGTTCATCTAAAATATATAAATTTTATATTATTTATGTTATGTAATTATTTTCAATTTAAACTTAAAAAAGATAAAAGAAATAAAAATTTTTTTTTTTATTTTTNATTTATAATTCATTTAATCCTATTAAAGAAAATGACGTGAATATAGGATTTCCTACGATAAAATGATTTACACTGCGGCTTAATAATATGAATGGGTCAACTTTATTTGGGTATGAACCCCCGGAGTTAAAACATTTTTTTAGAGAAATTAATTTAAGGGGTGAAAAAATCAGATGATTGATTAATATCTCTTGAATTTTAGAAGGATTGTTTTTTTTCAAATAAAAAAACTCCTTTTTTTTAAAAAAAAACAACAAAAAATAAGTTTTACAAATAAAAAAAAAAATATTTTGATAAAAAGAAAGAAACGAATTTTTTTGATTAAAAAAAATCTAACCAAATTATATTTAAATGATATTCAAGAAATTTCTACTAATTCAAGTAATTCCAATGTTTCCAAGAGAAACAATACGAGGATCAACTAACAAAAAATACTAAAGATATATATAATCACGTGACTATTGAAACGAGAGTCGAAAGATTTTTTGAAACGCGAATATGATAAAAGGAACAAGAAAATTTTTTATCAATGAAAATTAATTTATGCTTATCAAAAAAAACAAGCACGTGAAACATGACAGATCCCTTTCTTACGATATTAAGTATCTATAAAAGAACTTGTTAACGAAAAAAATTTTAAAAATTTTTATCAAAGTTTCTTATATAGCTTACGTACTTGTTTCTGATATTTTTTTTCGAATTTTTTTTTTTTTTCTTCTTTTTTTCTTTTTTTTTTGTCACTAAAAACCTAAAGTGGATCTTAAAAAAACACTTCTTTTACACTTATATAAAATTCCCTTCGGTTTTTTATAAATATCTTTTTTTAAGTAGATATATTATATATATATATAAGTATATATAAATTTAGGTTCTAGGCTTATACCACTTATTTATATATTGAAATTTACGGTTTTTGGATTCAAAAAAAAACAAGTGAATATAAAATTTTCTTTTCATTTTCAAAACCTCTAAAAAAAAATAATAATAATGTTCTAAGCTTTTTTTTCATTTTTTTGGCAGGAAAAAAAAAACTTTTTAGGGTTTAGTCAACTTTATACTTGAATTAGTAGTATAGTTTCATAATTAAAGTTCATTATAAAATAACATATATATTTGAAGAATGGTTGACTGGTTAGATGCTCATTTTTCTGAACGGTCCGACTCTTCTGACGAGGAGTTCGTTTTTCACGAAGAAGATGCAGTCGAAGATACTAGTGATAGCTCAGAGGAAGAATCCAGCGGTAAGAAATTATCTAATTTGAATATGTTATACATATAAAAATAAGCATACATGAATTAAGATTTGATTTATCTCTAATATATACATATATCCCATTTTTAATTAATGGAATTTTTTTCGTTTCTTTTCTCTCTTTTTTTTGAATTACTTAAAAAAAGTCGACCAAAGTTCTGTAGCCAATCAAAATACTCCACAGCATACATATGGTCATCACACGGTTAATGGAAATAGCGCAGCAACAAACCGATATGCCTCTCCAATTCAGGTTAATGGTAATGGTAATGGTCACGGATTGGATGAAAACGGTTATACGAATGGTAAAGTCGGAGCAAATCGTCAACACCCACATTTATATAGTCCTTACGGGAGAATATCTCCACGAAGATCAAATGGAGAACGAGTAGATGATGATGAGTTTATACATGATGGAAGCGGGTCTTTTTTTCCTTATTCAGATCAGCCACCAAGTAAATATTAAATAAATTTATCATGTTATTGTTACATATTTTATTTTATAGATGACGCGTAATTGACGCGTTCTTTTTTTTTTTCTTTTAGATCGTCCCTTTAGAGAGTTAGGTGTACCGTTCGAGATTTTTTCGGACACTTTCAACCAGTTCCATGATGGTAATTGATGTGATATTTTTTTTTTAAAAAGATTTAATGTTATGATATAATGATGTGATATTTATTTTCTTAACTTTTAAAAGAACAAGAAACTATGTTGAAGGAACTAAAAGAAACGGAACAAGAGATGCTCCAAATGAATGCACAACTTGAGGAGGAAATAGAGGTTGTCAAGGAAGATTGTAATGATTTAAAAGCTGATTATAGAGATATTTGTGAAGAAAATAAACAAATTAGAGAATATATTGAAGATATGCATTCCTTCCTTATTCCATATTTTAATAATATAGTGGGAGCTGATGATAATGATGAAGACAATGAAGGTGTAAAAGATATGGAAATCGACAAAAATAACGCGGATGAAGATAATGAAGAGAAGGATGATGATGTTGATCTCGAATTTGATGAGGTGACCCTTGGGCCTTTCCTCATCGAATTATTCCGTCAACAACAGCAACAGCAACAGCAACAAGAAGTAGAACAAGAAGAACAAGGAGATGAACAAGATCAGCAAGAAGAGGAGAAACAAGAAGAAAGCGAAAATCAGCAAGAACAACAAGGAGAACAAGAAAAACAACGAGATCAAATACGACAATAATAATGAGTTTCAGTAACTATTGTGTATATATATATATTTGTCAACCGACATTTAATGATATCTTATTGGGGAAATTAACTTTATGATGCAAATTTTTTTCAAACCTAATTTTTTTTGGTCTATTTTTGATTGGACATTGTTTTAATTTCGTGAATGACAATTTTATTGAAGTTTTTTGTTTTTTTTAATTTGAGTAGACTCTTTATTTTATATTTATAATATGTATGAATTACGTTTAATAATGTCGAAAAAAAAAAGATAATTTTTTTTTTTTTGACATATATAATATTTTTTTTTTTTGTGAATATAGCATTTAATAGCTAATAGTTTAGCTATTATTATATAGTTTTACTCTTAGCTTTTTTTGTACAGAATAGAAAAAAAAATCACCAATTTCATCATCAAAAAAAAAATCACTACACAAACCATTAATTTGTAATACCAATTTTATGAACAAACAAAAAANAGAAAAAAAAAAAAAAAAAAGGTTTACAATGACGTAACGCGTTCCAAGACTAGTCTTCACGTGATAAAAATCAAAAAATTACACATATAAAAAAGCGCTAATCACATGATTTCTGATTAAAGTACAGAACTAATTTTATTAAACAAAAAAAATAAATACATGATACATTTTATAATATATATATATAATAACCCACTCTAAACTTGAATAAAATAAAAAGATATATATATAATACAATCAAACTAAAATTTGTTATTAATTATTTTTTACCACATAGAACATTTATCTACGGGATTCATTTTTGACCCTGAATGACATTTAAATGTTTCGGTAAAATGGTTTGAATTTCTTAATACACCATTAACTCTCCAATTTGCTGGTGAATGAGGGTCAACTCGAATCTTATTACACAAAGAAAATAAATGTTAGATAAAATATTTTAGTATCGATAATTAAAAGAAAAAAGAAATCTCTACCCTTTCTACAGCAGTTTCTGGTCTTATTCTTGAACACCAAGCACGTCCAAATGATATATAAAATAATTGTTCTCGAGTCAAATTCTGTAATCCAGGTAATAATTGATTATTATACTTATTATCCTTGTCACTTTCAAATCGAGTTAGCCATGCTTGAAAAGCTTGTTTAAGGCTATAATTATTATTTGAGAATATGCTTATAATTAGAATAATGTTTCTTAAAAAAAGTGTAAACTATGAATATTTTAAATAACTACCCTCCGTTATCGGCAAGATTTTCACCAAGAGTTAAAATCCCATTCAAGTTTACGTGTTTCCCTTTTGGATCATCAACGGTGTAATTACCATATTGATACACAAAACATTGTGCCTTTTCCTTGAAAGCTTCAATTGTAGTATTAGACCACCACTATTTAATAAACAAAATAGATTATTTTTACGCATAAATTCATTGAAATTACAAATCATTTGAATAAATTAGTTTTGTACCTGAGTTAATTTACCATTCGCGTCATATTTTCTCCCATTATTATCAAATGCATGCTTTAGTATTATAAGTTCAAGTTAGCTTAAATCTCAATCGTCCCAAAAAGCAAACTTTTAAGATGGTACAAACCGTGAGCTCATGTCCAACAACCGTACCAATCGACCCAAAATTAACATATTCTGGAGCCTTGGCACTGAAAAACGGGGATTGAAGTATTCCTATTATTTATAAATAGGTATATATTAAATGAATATATATATATACACAATAAATTAAAACATTCTAAATAGATTAATTACCAGCCGGAAATACGATTTCATTAGCAGTAGGATTCTAAATTGCAGTGAAAAAAAGCCATGTTACTACTTTCCCTATTAAATTCATCATGTACAGTATAACTTTACTTACATAATATGCGTTAACTGTTTGAGGAGTCATATACCATTGACCAATATCTACAGGTTTACCAACTTCACTCCATTTTTTACTAGAAGCCCAGGCCTGAGCACTTAAAAGATTTTCAAAATATTTATTTTCATTGGTTTCAATCTTTGCATAGTATTCAGCTAGAGATTGTGGTGACATAGTATCAGGTGATGAAGTGGGGTATCCAATTTTTTGAATAATATGATTAACTTTATCGATCGCTTTTTTACGCGTTTCTTCATCAAGCCAATCAAGCTGTGGTAATCGATTAATAAATGAGTCTTTAAGGGAGACAATTATTTGATCTGCCATTTCTTTACTTTGACCTAAAATAAAAATAAATAAAAAACAATATAAATATTATAAATGAAATAAATCAATAAATATAAATATAAACTTATCATATTATACCTCCAAATACTTTCAATACAAAATATCTGCCAGCCATAAGACCTAAAGTATTGTCAACTGATTTAAGACATTCTTCCCATCTTCTTGGTTTAACTGTCTCATCGGTTCCTCTAATTTTTGCCCTCAATTTTCTTAGAGGTGCTCTAAAATTTTCACTTAAATTATCAGCATAAGTATAAATTGCTTGCCATATGAAATAAAGTTGTAAAGTTTCAGTTGGAGTTTCTTTGACAAGATTTGAGAGGTCTTTAAAATATTTGTTAGAAGTTAAGATTATTCTAGACGGAAAACCATCTGATGTTGGAGGTAATAACGAACTAATATATTGAGACCAAAGAAAAGCAGGACTAAGCCTATTTAGTGATACTATAGTTTGATTATTATAGGTTGCCTCAGGATCAGAAAATTCTTCACTATTCCAAAGATAAAAAGAAAGATTAACGATATAAATTTAAAATTCATTATGACTCTGTAAAATCTGACTTACGCTGATAAAGATATTTTTGCTAATTTTTTCTCAAAATTTATAATTTTTAGAGCATTGTTTTCCCATTCTTCATATAACAATACTTCTGTACTAAATTCCAAAATATCTTCAAATAGATCTTGTGATGCATTGAAATTATTATAAAATGGAAGAGAAATATTACTATTATAATCTAAAGCCTTATCTAATAATGTTATCATAACATCTTTGTATATTGATAATATCTCTTCTTCCTCATAATACTCTTTGGAAGGTAAACCAAGACCAGACTGAGATAAATACAAAACATTATTTTTTGGATCCTTTGCATCTGCATCTACGAAAAATTCAAACAATGGTTTTATGCCAAAGGTAGAAAGGCGAGATAATATATTTGTTAAATTTAAGGGATTAGGAGAAGGACCTCTTATATCTTCCATCTCACTCAAATGTCCAAAATTATACAATAAAGAATATTTAGGATCTACGGGAAAATCTTCAACAATTTTGTTTAATATTGGTATCAAAGGCCTTGCATCAAGTTCATTAATTAAAGATTCATTCATGCAAGATTGATAAAAAGATTGAAGTTTATAAAAATTTTGTTTGTCTATTACTTCTGAAGGTGGCGGGAGACCTTGTTTAAATTTATTAGATGATTCAAAGTCATTTTCAAGAATTTCCTTTAATAATTTCTGTAACAAAAAAAAAAAAAAAATGAGATATGAGATTACAATTCATCGAAAAATTCATTGTGCGAATATTTTTTAGATAATTTAAATAATAATAATAATAATATAAAAAAAAAAAAAAAAAAAAAATCTCGTTAGTAATAACTCCTAGAATGGTAAATAATCCCTAATGGTTTATCTGATCATCTTTGAATATGTATCCAGATCTACTTAATGACATCCGGATCTAAGCCCCGATCATTTACCTGATTATCTTCATATAAACTATCAAAGTAGCTGTAGCGCCCTTTATCTTCTGGTATTACATGATTATGTATCCAGCCTCCACCTTAAAAAAATTGAAAACAATTTTAGAAAAGTTTAAAACGAATTTATAATAAATATAAAAGATAAATTTTAGCTTTACAAGAATATTGAAAGAAATCGTCACAGGGGTTTGCGGTTAAATCCATGTCGTTAATAATCTGAGCAGCTATAATTACACAATCTGGAGTAAGACAAGGACTCTATAAAACGAGTAAGTTATACTTTATTAATTTCTCTTCATACCAACAGTACCAGCATACCAACATTCTTGCGAGAATTGTAATTAACATGTTTACCTTTGTGGTATCGTTTGGTGGAACTATAATAGGCGGTTGTGGAGGTTCTGGAGATATTATATGTTTATTTGCCTTCCCGGCGTATAAACCAGCGAAAACACTCATAAGTATTAATAGCAAGACACTAATTAAAGCCAAGAACACTTCTAGTTTAGAGAATCTCCCATGACGAGGTAAGAAATTTGTGTGGTCGCGTGGAGCTTCGCGAGTGCGTGGACCGCGTATGTTACCACCTTCATTATTACCAAGGTGAGATTCGTCATTTTCGGGATCATTAGGAGTTCTAGAGTCCGTAAGCAACGGAGCGTCCTCCATTGGCGAGGAAGGTACGTGACTCATTCTCTTATCAAAAGAATCGTTACGATAAACTTGAACTTATAATAACAAAACGGATATAATCTCTGTTATTAATTTTTTATTAAAGGAGATCTATAAAAACTAAAAAAAAAATGTAAAAACAAGAGTTAAAAATTACCGTTGATTGTTTAAATGAGTAATAAATAAGCCCTAGTCCGTTTCACTGACATGCCATTTTAGTTAATTGTTACGCAGGTACGATATCTTTAGTTCATACCCGAAGTAAAGCCTTAATAATTTTAATAATAGAACAATATTAAATTCATCTCTTCTATATTTAGAAAGAAATATAAATTTCGGAGATCGTACCATTGACAAAAAAAAAATTTCATTATGTTGTATTACGTTACTAACCAAAAAATTTCAGGCATGGTCGTCACAAACTAATCTTTGTTACCTAAAACTTATATTTTGCATATCATTGGTTAATTTGTTATTTCGAAATATGCGCAAAGGTTTTTTACATTAACTCCCACACAAACCTTCGCTTTCTCCTACCTAAAAAAAAGACCTATTCACATCAATTTTTTTTTGTCCTTTGGAATAAAAGATATTTTATTTCTTGACTAACCCATTCGCCTTTCCTTTGAACTGCTAACAGTTTATTCGTTTGTTTCACAATAATAATGTCACCAAGTGCAGTTTCTACAAACGGTATTGGCATTGCCGACTTGCCAAACCAGCGTCATAAAATTGTTGCCAAACGCGGTACCAACTTTACCTTAATGGTTGTTGGTAAGTATTCGTTGCTTTTAGAAGAGGAAAGTTCACCGGAACATCTATAACTTTTTCGAAACAGATGTTATGTTATTGTTAGAAAGTACAAGTGTTTTACCTTCAATCAACTAGTGAAACTTTAATATGACGATTTTTTTTTATTAATAAGGTGAATCCGGTCTCGGTAAAACAACTTTCATCAATACTCTTTTCACTACTACTATCAAAGAAAAAAAGAATCAAGCTAAACGCCATGCCAAACAAACGGATAAAACAGTTGAGATTGAAATAACAAAAGCTGGCAAGTACATAAAACATTATTTCCAATTCATTTATCTTTATAGATCGTTTTTATTAATTGTGTTTTTTTTAATATTGTTTATAGAACTCGAAGAAAAAATGTTCAATGTTAAGCTCACAGTTATTGATACTCCCGGATTTGGCGACTATGTAAATAATCGGGATAGTTGGTTACCCATCGTTGAATTCATCGATGATCAACATGAATCATACATGCGACAAGAACAACAACCACATCGTGAAGAAAAATTGGATATGCGTGTTCATTCCTGTCTTTATTTCATCCGCCCAACTGGCCATACGTAAGTTACTTATTATTACAATAATAATAAAGATTGATTACTAATCATATATATAAATTTGTAGTTTAAAGCCCTTGGATATCGAAGTCATGAAACGTTTAGGTTCTCGAGTAAATCTAATTCCCGTAATTGCCAAGGCTGATACCTTGACGCCAAAAGACTTGGAAACCTTCAAGAGAAGGGTAAAGTCATTTGCGTGATAATTGATGTTTTTAAAACTTGTGATTTTAAATATTCAGTTGATATATTTTGAATTTATAGGTTAGAGAAGTTATTGCTGCTCAAAACATTCAAGTTTACCAATGCCCAATTGAAAGTGACGATGAAACCAGCACCAAACGAAATATGAACATTATGGTAAATTTTATATTTCACTTTTTTATTAAATTTTCTATATTTCGTATTTTAACTGATTATCTTTCACTTGATAAACAGGCTGCTATGCCTTTTGCGATAATTGGTAGTGATGAGGATGTCATTGCCCCTGATGGTCGTAAAGTAAAGGGACGTCAATACAGCTGGGGTATTGCCGAAGTTGAAAACGAAGATCATTGTGATTTCAAGAAACTTCGTTCCCTTCTTATTAGGTAAATCTCACGTTTAAAAAAATCAAGAGTTCCTACTTTATAGACAGAGAAATTTTATAATTTTAATCGTATAATTTGTCTACTATTATAAGGACACACATGTTAGATTTGATATCCACAACCGAGGAAACCCACTATGAAAATTATCGTCAATCACAAATGGAAACAAGGAAGTTTGGTGAAGCCAAGTAAGATTCTTTCTCCACATTATATGTTTTTATTGCAATTCTATTCTAATATATATTCTACTCTTTTTTAGACCTAAGAAACTTGATAATCCTAAATTCAAAGAAGAAGAAGAAGCTCTTCGTAAGAGATTCACTGAACAAGTTAAACAAGAAGAGAACCGTTTCCGACAGTGGGAACAACATGTTAGTAGTCCATGAAATCAGATCTTTGATGAGAATATTGTACTTTTTTCCCATTATTTTAATATTGATGTTGATTATCTATTTTATAGCTTATTGCTGAGCGCGATCGTCTTAACAAGGACTTAGAAGCTGAACATTCTCACATTAAATCGTTAGAGCAGGAATTAGAAACGATTCAAGCAGGACTTTCAAGCAAAGGCGGAAGAAAATAAAAAAAAAAGTTATTTCTGGTAAAAGTAACTTTTTTAATACATGATTTACATGATGCAATTCTTTTTCTTTAATTTAGCCTTATCAAATCTTTTTATTATTTTTTCTTTAATTTGTCTTTTTCTTTAATATTCAAGTAGAAAATAATTAATTATATTATCAAATTAGTCATATGTATTATATATACTATCATAGTTAATTTTTATGTGGGATTTATTTATTTCCAAAAAAAAAAAAGTATTTTTGGGTTAGTTATAAATAGATGCTAAATTGTCTCTTATTTAAAAGAAGTATTTTGAAATATCCATTATTTACTATACATGAATGCTTTTTTTTATTGAATATATTGTTATATTTTTTAATATATGTTCCTTATATTTAAACTTTAATAGAAAAATATTTATATTGATAGTTTATTCTTTATATTAAAAAATTACTATTAACAAAAAGTCTGAAAATTTGATCTTTAAAAAATATATGTAATATTAAATATATTTGCTTAATATTTTTACACTTTAAATACTTAAAATAATAGGTATTAAATATTATATAAAAATACTTTTTATTATATATAAATAAAGATTTTTAATATTTAATAAATAAAAGTAAATAATAAAGTTTAATAAAAAATTACATATACTATATATAAAAATCGAATTTATACTAAAATGCTAAATAAAATTTCTTTTTTAAAAAATTAATATTACAAAAAAATCTTTTAACTTTTAATAATAATAATTTATTTAAATAACCATTTTTTTTTACTATAAAGATTTATAAATTAAATTACTATAATGTAATCTATTTATTTAAAATTCTAGAAAATACATATAGAAATAAAATCTAAATATCCAGCTAAAAAATTTACTATAAAAGAACTCCACCTACTACTAATAAATATTACTGTAGAAATAATGGTACAGTTAACCAAAAAACAGAATTGAATTCCTGATTGCCAATTATTCAGACCTGGTTTAATCACAATAATTTATTACTGAACTAGGTTCAGATCATATTGTGGCTAATTATTTTTCAGCTAACTACACCATTATACTATAGAAAATTTTAACTTTTATATGAAATTTTATCTTAGGATTTACTTAAATTCTATTGGTTAATTAGTTAAAAAAGAAAAAAAACCTTTTATAGTAGGATTTTTAACAAATTTTATATATAAATCTTACCTTAGACTTGGGAGTAACCTATTTTAAAAGTAGGTGGAATCCTACTATAAACTTATAGAATTTCTTTAAAATTAAAATTATAATACTATATTTTATCTTGACAATTACTTAGAAATTTGATTGCATTATTATTTTTAATAATAATCTAATTGCATAAATGGTAGGTTGACTTTTCTTTAAAGAAGTAGTTATATTTTATAATAATTAGTTTTAGTTTATATATATTTTTTATTTTCTTATTTTATATAAGTTAAATAAGTGAAAAAAAACTTTTTTTCATACAGTTCACATCCATTTTTTACATAAAAAATAATTTGCTTTTTTCTCTGTTTAATAAGAAACTAGTAGTTTAATATTAAAGCAAAAGTGTTTCTTGGTTAAAACAACACACTTTTTATTATCTTTCTTTTGTGTTATCAAGAGTTTATAAGAACTTATTCTCCTTTAAAGAAAAATTTTTGTTTTCTTGCGAGATTTTTTTTTAAGAAAAGGCATAAATACAGTGCACTAATTAGATTAATAATGCCAAATAAAGAAATTTCTATTGGCTATACATTCTTCCATTTGGTAAATATGAAATAGTATTTAGGGGCTGACACGTTATATGCTACTTGAAAAGGAAAATTCTATATCTTTTTACATGTAGATTCACTTTAGAAAGAGAAAGATACGTTAATAATTATAACTAATAATAGACATATTGTTAAGAAATATGATGAACCTTTTAAGATTAATTCAGATAGGACTATTATGAATATAGGATCTTAAAATATTTGATAAGTATATTTTATAGATTGCCTATTAATTTGAAACCTGGAAATAAATATTATTTGAGAATATATCAGTTATTATTGGATAAACTAGTTGCGATAGAGATAAGATTTATTTTATATTCTTATTGTAATAATGTTTGTACTTAAGGTTGCTTGCCGAAACCTAGGGGTTTAGGCAAGATGGCGTTTCGCCGAAAAGCGAAATTCTGCCGAAACTATATTAAAGTTATATTAAAAAACTGGCGAAACTTTGGAGAAAGGCGAAACTGCTGAAACTTATTATAAATGCTGAAACTGCTGAAACTCTGCCGAAACTATAATAAATCTATAGTAAAATTTTGACGAAACTAATCGTAGGATTTTGAGGAGGTTTAGACAAGCAACCTTATTTGTACTTATGTGATGTTATATGATAGAAAAATATGTCAAAATTGTCACTCAAAGGTGATAGAAACATCTTTACCAAAACATGTTCAGAGATTATAGTCAAATTAAACATGTATCAAGTAAACGTATAAGCATTACTTATACCAAAAAAGTTTTAATAGAACAGGTAACTATGTAATTATATATGTGAATTTGGACTTTAATAAACAGTTTAAATCACAAAAGAAACAGGAAAATATAAAAAAATTCTTTTGTAGCCTAAAAGGTAACAAGAACAAATAGCGAGATACAGACAATGGGTTTGAATTAAAAATATATATTTCCAGACATCAATTGAGATATAAAAATGAATCAGATGATATTTTTAAAAAACAATATATATTGATAAAGGAAATGAAGTTTCTGATAGATCAAGTATTAAGTAGAACAGAATACAATATGTTGAAAAAAAATTTTTGTTGGTCATTCTTTCAATAAGAAGTATTTTCTTAAAATAAGAAGAAAAAAAGAAGCAATATTTAACCTAGAAGACAATATTATAATAGAACAGTCAATTAGTACCAGTAAGGATACTATAATTGATAAAGTAACAGAGAATCTAGAGGTTTTGAAAATTAGTAAACAAGTTAAACTGGCTCTCTGGCAAGACATATTAAAAAGGTGGTACCAATATCAAGATTAGAATTTCAAAGAGTTAAACAGTGTTAGAGATTTGAATACATTAACGACTTATTGTAATGGAGTTAAAAGAAAAAAAAGAGCAAATGGTATCACTTATAATTATATGATTATCCAGTGTTCAATTAGAGATCGTAAAATTGAAAAGAGGGTGTGATATTAATGAAGGTTAAATATACAATTAGTTATTCTCATTTTGTTTTTCTATTTTCTTTTGTGGAATAGTTAATTATTAAAAAACAAATTATCAAAATGAAAAAAATGAATAATTATTTGTTAGTTTCATAATATTCTCTATTTGATAATATTTACAGTTCTCGAAAAAAGTAATCGGAATTACAAAAAGTGCAAAATATAAAAATCCAATGATTAAAATTGCTTCAAATTTTCCAAATTTATTGTTGAATGTATAAATATTACGCATATAAAATTTCAGCCCTTTATCTCATTTCCTCGTCTCTCAATCAATTTTTTAATTGGGAAAAAAAAGTCGTTAAAAATTTAAGTTATAAAATCCTAAAAATTCTGGTATAGTAGTATTCAAATAGTAGTTTATTAAGGATTGGATAGTTATAAAATAAAGCTTACATAATGTTGATTCTAATAAAAAAAATTTCTCACTTTATCATTTGTTAGCTGTTGAAAAATTTGAAATCAAAATTTATTTTCTGTATTGATCAGCAACCGGCCCTAACCCTTAATATTAGTTGAAAGGCAAAATTGGATTTAAAATATAATAATTATAAAGGATTATAATAAAATCTAATTAATATTAGATAAATAATATTTAATTTATTTGAAAAAATATCAATCCAAATAAGCTTAATGCTTTTAAAATTGAGTTTTATTAATGATTTTTGAGCCAATTTTAATCCAAATTTGCTGAAAAACTGATTAATTAAATAGCATAAAAAAAATTTAAAAATTAATAAAAGATATTCTTTTATGAGGACCCCGGATATCTCCAAAACAGGTCATAAGTCACACTTTCGGCAGATTGGCCCATTTTTCAAGGGCTCAAAAAATCGTTTTTTGTAAATATCTCGGCATCCAGTAGTCCAATTTTGATGAACTTTTTTTTAAATTGTAGAGCTAAATGAGGGCTACAAAATAAAAAAAATTCATTAAAATTGAATTACTGGATGCTGAGATATTTACAAAAAACGATTTTTTGAGTTTCAGCAAAAAGGGGTGTTTTTGGCCAAAAGTCCATTATGACCTTTATATTAGATATCCGGGGTCCTCTTTTATGTTTATAATATTTTATTACAAATATACATGCTGATTATTAAATATCTGAGAACAATATCAAATCTTTATAGAATTTACACCCTGCTTAAATTTTTAACGATATTTTTTTTCAAATTAAAAAATCGATTATAGGACAAAGAAATAAAATCAAAGGCTGAAATTTTATATTTACAACCTTTACACATTTAGCAACAAATCTTCGAAATTTGAAGTTATTATAATCACTGGTTTTTAATTTATTGCATTTTTTGCAATTCCGATTACTTTTTTCGAGAACTGTATATAGGGCTATTTAGTTAAAAAGAAAAATATATAGATAGATAATCTATTGAATTTTACTTTTTTCACATCATTCCATATTTGATTATATTTATATATAGCAAATTTTATTTGAAAGAAAAATATATAGACTTCTTTTAGGTAGTTTTAACAAATTATTTTTAGTACATTTATTTTTTACGTTTTTATCATTCTGTATCAAGAATTATATATGTACGTTATTTATAATATGTAAAAAGAGGGAAAAAATGGGATATCAATAGTAGAGATAAAAGAATAAAGTCAAATAGTAAAAAACGTGATAAGAATAATGTAAGATTAGTAAACTTCATTAATAATATTAATTGAAACAAATGGAATGATTTTGCATTTTATTGGAAAGGTCATTAGGCAAATTTTTAGGCAAATCTTGACAGTTACCTAAAAATTTTGGTTGTATTATTGTTAATAATAGTGATATAATCATTTAAGTGATAGGTTAACTTTTTTTTTGGAAAAGTAGTCTTATTTTATAATGCTTAATTCTTATATATTTTTTATTTTTCTTATTGTTATAAGTTTAGTATATGTAAGTAAGTGTAATTATATTAAGATAAAATTGCATTTATAATAAATAAAAAATATATATCTATTATATAATAATTATTTTCCTGTATGACAGTCACGTTTAGATTACATATTTATATCTGTGTTCCTGTAACGTTTAGACTACAATTTATACCTGTGTATCTATAACGTTTAGACTACGAATTTATACCTGTGCACCCGAAAGACTGTATAAAATCACGTATAACATTTAACCGTCATACCGATCACATGTATGTTTAT